ATTCCTCTCCCTTGTTTCACATGGAGCTAAAATTCCGCAGGAACAACACTCCTTGGTTTTAAAACACACTCACACTCACAAGAAGATAGATAAGGGAGGCTTGGGCCGTAGAAGTCCTGGATTCTGACAGGACTGGAATCAATATAAAACTTCATTTTAGCTAAGTGATGCGATGTGGGGGCAGAGGAAGGGTAGACAAAAGGAAACAAATAAAGAGGGTTTTTTTTTGGAAAAGTGAGTGTGAAAGAGACTCCAGGGAGGCAGATGAAGGGCTCTTTATTGCAAAGAACAACACATGATCTGACATGTGTGTTGCACATGGAGGAGGCACTTTGAATCCTTTCCTTTGTTTATGATTGGGGGGGGCAGGAGAGAGAATAAGTATCTTATGTAGAGGCACTGCAGTTGAAATATTTGGTCTGGAGGGCAGGGTTTTTTTTATATATGCACACCCCTAAGCATTTATGTCTGTACCTGCACAGTTGGTTCCAAGAGCCCGATTGGAGGGCCGGCGCTTGCATTCCTAGCACTCAGCACCTCCATAAATCTTGCCAACAGGCTGGATTTCCTGTACATTCGTTTATGTGCGCCCATAAGGGCCCGGGCCGGAAAACGGATTCTCTCTGCTGCCACGATGCCAAGCGTTGCGGTTCATTCCTCTCCCCGCCGCCCCCCCAGAAGACTCTGATCTCATGGAGCAAATATGTAGAGCTGAACTTCCTTCGATGGCTCTCCAGAAAAGTAAACTCAGTGCCCAAGCACACCACCGCTAAAGGTAGCTAAGACTACAAAGCTGAAAGCGATTTGAGCGTCATAGCGGCTTTCGGAAAACAACCGCAAAGGCAAACTGAAGAAAGCAGAGGATCTACTGAGAAATTTATGGGCCACCATTATCCAGAACCAGCATTTGCGGAGGACTTTCATTGCTTTTTTTTTTTAAAAAATAGTTTTTATTGATTTTAACATATAAATTATAAAATGTACCACAAAACTTATCACTTATACAATCTTTTGAGACTTCCATCAGCACCTCTGATGATCCACTATTTTAACCGCTTCTTCTGCATTTCTTAACTTTATATTGCCTTTACATCTCTTAACAAATCATCCTTCCCCTTCTCCATTTTTGCAATACTTCCAACAATACTCCTCACAAAACTTCTTGCAAACCTACAAACGTTGTCTGATCTTCACAAATACTTTTCAAATAGTCCGTAAAATTACTCCAGTCTTCTGTGAATTTCTGGTCCCGCCGGTTTCGAATCCTTCCTGTTAGTTTATCTAGTTCTGCATAGTCCATTAACTTCATCCTCCATTCTTCAATTGTCGGTAATTCTTCTTGCTTCCATTTTTGGGCCAGTAATATTCTTGCTGCTGTTATTGCATATAAAAAGAGCTTAGATTCCTTTCTATTTATATCACTCTCCACAATGCCCAGTAAAAATGCTTCTGGTTTCTTTATAAATGTATATTTCAACATTTTTTCCATCTCATTATATATCATCTCCCAGAAGCATTTCACCTTTTTACATTCCCACCACATGTGATAAAATGTTCCCTCTTTTTCTTTACATTTCCAACATTTATTACTGACTTTATACATTTTCGCTAACTTGACAGGTGTAATATACCATCTATACATCATTTTCATCACGGAGGACTTTCATTGCTGATGTTGCACAGAGGAGAAATCCGATTCATGTTCCACCTGCAATCTGATGTGGTACAGCCTAGACGATGGTGTAACTTAGGGATGGAAGAAGGCATTTTGTCTGGTTCCGCTGCTTATTTATTGAATGCCATGCCTTTTCAATTCTGCTGCAGTTTGCCTTCCTCCAAAGGCTACTCTATTCACCTCATTGTCCACTGTGGTGAAATTATGTAAGTTGTCTTCTCATTATGTTATCCAACCTCATTTATTTCACTGCAAAGGAAACACAATCCAAATTATTGCACAGTTTGAACTGACAGGAAGCATAAAAATGGACTCCTTTTTCTAATGAAGCACAGTCCAGACCCATTAGATATTGTTCAAAACTTTACTTTGCAGAACGTTCATCAAAACAGAACAGAAACATCAAATGATACATCCAGACAGTTCCACAAGACATATGCTCAGTATCTTACAAAACATGAAATAACTCCAACAGACCTAGAAGCAGAGGTTCCAGCCTCCATTTTGCCTTAGGCTGTTTACCTGGAGAGCTTCGTTTACATCCTTACTCTCACAGTCTGAGAACAAAGGCAACTCCCTTTCAAGATGGCGATTTGTAATTCAATACCTTAATCACCTGATCTAAGGTTAAACACTCACGTCAGAGATACCGGAAAACAGCAATAGTTCATTATCAACTATTAAAGCTCCTTAGAGTTCCTTAGAATACTCCAGTGGAATTTTCCAACATTAAACCTTTAGCAACATACATGCAGGCATTTTCCATTTCAGTGTCAAATAAATAATTATACTTAACAGGGGGAATGTAATCAAAAACAGAAGAACAGAAGGAAAACCCTGCAGGATTCGGCCAATGTCCATCTAGTCCAGCATCCTGTTGTCACAGTGGCTTTAGGTCCATAAATTACCATATAGCATATATTCAACACAAAAAACAGATGCAATTTGTTGTTGACAAAGGACAGCTGGACACATAAAGGGCCCCATTACCTTCTGTAGCTTAGGGCCTCATCAAAGCTAAATCTGACCCTGGGAGAATGGATTTCACACACAGGCCAAGTGATGAAAAGCCAAAAGGCTTCCTGGAGGACTCACCTGTGCGCTTTCCCTCCCCTTTTACCGCCCAGGTGCAGCAGCACTGGCTTTTGCTATATGTCTGCTAACTGCTTACAACACTCCTCTAGCTCTCGAAAGCCATGTTATGTTGCTCTTAGAGCAGCCTTTCTCAACCTGCGAGTCCCTAATGTTGTTGAACTACAACTCCCATCACCCCTAGCTAGCAAGGCCAGAGCTCAGGATGATGGGAGTTGTAGTCCAACAACATCTGGGGACCCACAGGTTGAGAACCACTGTCTTAGAGGGTCCTGCTTAGAGCATCTCTTTTCAAACCCTAAGCACATCCTGTCACTTTCGCTTCAGGTTCTGGCCTCTTCAACTCAGGTCAAGCGCATGTTGCCACTATGGCAAACTTAGGCCAATTAATTTCCATGGGTCTACTTTGAGGAGAACTTGCTTGGCTGCAAAACAGCTCATGTTTCGTCCTGGGGAGGAAAATGAAAACCATACCCATCATGTTGGCCTGGTCTTTGGTCCCACAATCCCCCAGATTGAAGAGAAATCCGCTTTGTGTTTGAAGCAGTCAATGGAACAAGTCAGCGACGGCAACATAAAAATTCTGGGTCCGTGTTTACACTCTGCATTTTTTCCTTTGGTGTTGGTTCCTTTTCTTTGCGGCTTGCTGTGTTGTTTCGTTCCCACAGAACCAGCCTTACCCAATAGCCACATGTGTGTACTAAACAGTTCCAGGGACAAATTCCCATGGAAGCGTCATCCCGTCAGATGTTGCTGTTTTCCATCCCTTTTCTACTTTTGCAACCCCCTCCTCCTTCTGCAGCGCAGCTTCCTGTGCAAGGCTCATCTTCGCAGGCCGATAAACAACCCAGAAACACCGTGCCAGACATACAAATCAGCATGGAAAAGAAGAAGAAGAAGAAACATCACCACAGTTAGTGGTGGGCACCATACTCTCCTCTCAGTTCAGAATTGGGCTCCACCACCCAAAGCTTTTTGAGGGACATGGGTGGCGCTGTGGGTTAAACCACAGAGCCTAGGACTTGCAGATCAGAAGGTTGGCGGTTCGAATCCCCGCAACGTTGTGAGCTCCCCTTGCTCGGTCCCTGCTCCTGCCAACCTAGCAGTTCGAAAGCACATCAAAGTGCAAGTAGATAAATAGGTACCACTCCAGTGGGAAGGTAAACAGTGTTTCTGTGCGCTGCTCTGGTTCACCAGAAACGGCTTAGTCATGCTGGCCACATGACCCAGAAGCTGTACGCCGGCTCCCTCAGCCAGTAAAGCGAGATGAGCACCGCAACCCCAGAGTCAGCCACGACTGGACCTAATGGTCAGGGGTCCCTTTACCTTTACCTTTAACCAAAGCTTTAAAACAGGGATAAGAAACCTCTGTATGTGGGGGTCTCCGTCAGCACCAGTCAGCACTGGCTGACAGTGAGGGATGATGGGAGTTAGAATCCAGCAACATCTGGAATCAGAATTGTAGAATTGGAAGGGACCGCGAGGGTTGTCTACTCCAAACTTTACAATATATTTATTAAAGTTTCAGAAAAGATTACAAAAATAAGAAAAAGAAAAAAAAGAAAAAAGTACAAAATACAGAAAAATAAAAACACTTAAAAACAAATCAATCTTTCCATGTCTTGTCTTTCGTTTACTTGTTTCCCTGACCTCCTCACACCTCCCTTTTTTGTATTCCAGTTCAATTAGTTAATTCAGCAAATCCTTTCCCTCTTTGTTTTTATCTTAGTCCTTTAACTCAATATATTATAACTTTAGATTCTCACCTGTTAACAATCCATTTTTACATACTCCTTTGAAACATTACTGCTAAAACCACTTAACTTCATTTCGACATCATACTAACATTCATTAATTTTGCAATATTTCTGTAAATAGTCTTTAAATTTCTTCCAATCTTCTTCCACCGACTCTTCTCCCTGGTCTCGGATTCTGCCAGTCGTTTCCGCCAGTTCCATGTAGTCCATCACCTTCATCTGCCATTCTTCCAGGATCAATGCAGGAATCTTTTGCCCAATGTGGGACTCGAACCCAGAACCTTGAGATTAAGAGCCTCATGCTCTACTGACTGAGCTATCACAGCTTCCCTGAACCCTGCTTTAAAAATACATGTCAGTAAGTCAGGAGCACAAGGATTACAGGGGACTACCCCCAGCTACAGAAGGAATGGTTGATTGTTAAGACAAAGGAATTTTATGACAGTTGCCCGTAGTCAGAGATGGTGATCTTCTTGCTCGTCTTGCCGTTCCTTTACCCAAAGCGCTCCATTGCTTCCACAATATTCATTCCATCTTTGACTTTGCCAAAGACCACATGTTTACCATCCAGCCAGTCAGTTTTGGCAGTGCAGATGAAGAACTGAGACCCATTTGTCTTGGGACCAGCATTCGTCATAGACAAGATGCCAGCACCTGTGTGCTTGCGGACGAAGTTCTCATCAGCAAACTTCTCACCGTAAATCGATTTACCACCTGTTCCATTATGACGAGTAAAGTCACCACCCTGGCACATGAACCCTAGGAATGATTCTGTGGAAGCAGGATCCATGCGATGGTCACCTCCAGGCTTGACTACTGTAATTCGCTCTACGCGGGGCTGCCCTTGAAGTTGTCCCAGAAACTCCAGCGGGTGCAGAAGGCTGCAGCGAGGCTCCTCACAGGGTCTCTGCCATGGGAGCATATTCACCCAGTGCTTTTCCAGCTGCACTGGCTCCCGGTGGAGTACAGGGTCAGATTTAAGGTGCTGGTTTTGACTTTTAAAGCCCTTCACAGCCTAGGACCCTTGTACCTACGGGACCGCCTCTCCTGGTATGCCCCACAGAGGACCTTAAGGTCCATATATAGCAACACCCTAGAGGTCCCGGGCCCTAAGGAAGTTAGATTAGCCTCAACCAGAGCCAGGGCCTTCTCAACACTGGCTCCCGCCTGGTGGAACGCTCTGTCTCATGAGACCAGGGCCCTGTGGGATCTGATCTTTTTCCACAGGGCCTGTAAGACAGAGTTGTTCAACCTGGCCTTTGGCTCAGAATCAGTTTGATTCCCTCCCCCTCTTTCTTTTTCCTTTCTCCTCCTATGAAGAGATTGCTCCCTAATTGTTTTGATGTTGTATCTTAATCTTTTAAACTGTATTTTAATCAACTTGTTTTTATTATTGGTTGTTAGCCAACCTGAGCCCGGTCTTGGCTGGGGAGGGCAGGGTATAAATAAAAAATTACTATTATTATTATTATTATTATTATTATTATTATAACCCAAACCTTCCCCCCCCCAAGTGCTTAAGGCACGGAAATTCTCTGCTGTCTTTGGAAACTTGTCTGCAAATAGCTCGAAGGTGATGCGCCCAATGGGCTCGCCGTCGGTGGCGACATAAAAAAACATGACCAGGCTGGTCATTATGGCAGGAATGAGTCGAATAAAGGAAGGGGGTAGCTTTAAAAAAAGAAAAGAAAACCACCAGCGGCGGTAACAGGCAGCACTAGCGTCAACCCCTCTCCACACAGTAAGGAGTAGGGTACATGTCAGGAAAACAGCATATTTGTTTCCTAAGCCCAGTTAGGAATTTGAACCCCGTTGGTGCTGAGATACAATACATCGGAAGCCATCTTATTGGCAGTCAGACCATTGGGTCCTTCTAGCTCAGAATCATCCATGCTGATTGACAGCTGCCCTCCAAGGATTCAGGCAGGGGACCTTGCATGCAGAAGGTCCCTGATTCAATCTCTCGCATCTCCGGGTAGGGCTGGGAGAGGTTCTTGTTCAGGGGCAAAAGGGAACCTGCTTGCATCACTCATATCCTCCTATGACAAGGATGAGAAGCCTTTGGTCCTCCAGGTATTGCTCGACTCCAGTTCCCATCATCCCTCAGCGATGGTCCTGTTGGCTGGCATTGATGGGTGTTGGAGTTCAGGACCATCTGGAAGGAGACAGGGTCCCCATTTCTGGCCTGGAATGTGCTCAGTGTGTCCTGGGACACGTATTACCCCGGGCGATGCTGAGCTCCAACTCGACTTCTTCCTCTTCTTCTTTGGTGATCCCTCATAGCCGAGTGAGATTGTCTTCCATGAACACGGTCTTAACAATGAGTCCGTACGTAACTGTGGAGGCCAGTTCTGGATCCACATGTCCTTCCACAGTGGGGACATAGGGTTCCAAGCAGTTTGCCAAGCGTGCCTTCCTCTTTGCACGTTTCTCCCTTGCGTCCTGAGTTCAAGCGTCTTCAAAGCCCATGACACCTTTGGTAAAGGCTGTTCTCCAACTGGAATGCTCGCAGGCCAGTGTTTCCCAGTTGTCGGTGTTTATGCTATATTTTTAAAGATTTGCCTTGAGAGAGTCTTTAAACCTCTTTTGTTGACCACCAGCATTACGCTTTCCATTTTTAAGTTCGGAATAGAGTAGTTGCTTTGGAAGACGATCATCAGGCATCCGCACAACATAACCAGTTCAACGAAGTTGATGTTGAAGAATCATTGCTTCAACACGGGTGATCTTTGCTTCTTCCAGTACACTGGCATTATTTCGCCTGTCTTCCCAAGTGATGTGTAAAAATTTGGGAGACACCATTATGGAATCTTTCAAGGAGTTGGAGATGGCGTTTATGAGTGGTCCATGTTTCACAAGCATACAGTAAGGTTGGTAGTACAATAGGTTTGTAAACAAGCATTTTGGTTTCCCTGTGAATGTCCTTAAACACTCTGGTCCTCAAACCAAGTGTGAGCACCAGCCCATCTCCCAGACTCCTTTGCAAGGCATACTTCTTCCGTGGCAAATGCATCCATATATTGAAATGCTTCCCTGGCTAAATGTAGGACATTTGAAAATCCATGGCTTAAGAGGTTTCTAGCTGGATGAAAGGTGCATACCACTGAGGAAAGACCAGCCCATCTTATATTTCAGACCACATGTGCTTTTTGTTCAGGAGAACATATTTCTCTGGTTTTTATATGGCACCAAAAGCAACCACAGCAACTGCTCTTAAAATACACGGGCCTTGCGGGTTTCTTTGCAATTTAATCCCAAACACATCAGAGAAAAGGCCTTTGAACCTCAACGTAAAATTTCTCCTCCTGTTACCAAATCTCTCTGTCCAGCCTCCTTCTTCCCACTTGGTCCATAGGGATGCCCTCAGCTGTCAGAAAGCCACTTTTGTTATTGTTATGCAGATTGAAAGGGGGGGAGGAAGCGCCATCACCTTCCCCCCAAATCAAAGGGTAGTCCGGTAAAGGATTCCGGGGGGCATGGCCTCGTCCTAAGCCTATGAGGTGTGGGCCTACTGCACGCCCCTGATCTGTGACCCCGGGGGAGCTCCTAGTTGACGTGCATCAGCAGGACTGTTGGGAAAGATGGAGGGCACAAGGAGAAGGGGACAACAGAGGACAAGATGGTTGGACAGTGTTCTCGAAGCTACCAGCATGAGTTTGACCAAACTGCGGGAGGCAGTGGAAGACAGGAGTGCCTGGCATGCTCTGGTCCAGGGGGTCACGAAGAGTTGGACACGGCTAAATGACTAAACAACAATACATTAGGAGAAAATCACACTTCATATATGGGCGAATTTTTATGGGGACTTTTTAAATAGAAAAATCAAGTCAACAAACCAGTGTGGAAAACTGAGGCAGGGGAAAAAGGGAGAAACTAAGAAAAGTCAGCATTGACAAATTCATTTTTCCCTGTGGTATAAGTCAGCGAAGGTCCTTTGCAAAGCAGAATTCCACCCACACAGGTCTTTGCCTGCACTTGGAAGGAAGGAAGGCTCCACCTGGTTCAAGATCCTGTACTTCCTTGGAACATCACACACAGAGAAATACACGTACACACTTTGTTCAGGTTTTGCACCACCCCACCCCCCCAAAGGGAATCCACTCCACAATATGAAAAGCAATATAAGTTTAGAGCCTTGATGCTCTTCTTGGTCACACCATGTCCTTTCCCAAGAATCTCGCAGAAACAGATTCCAGCTTCCTGTATCAACAGATAGCATCCCAAGCCAAATATACACAGTGCAAAAGGAGAGAGCAGAGAGGCGGGTATAGAGAGCTGAGCTCCCACACACTATTTTGACCAGCGAAATAAATTACCACCAAGTCAAAATATTACGTTCCTTTGCAATGGAATGTGCTGAACACATCAACTGAGAAGGAGGGGGCAGCCTCAGTGGCAAAATCAGGATGCCCATTAGCAGTTCTTTTTAAAAAGTTGTTGCTGCTGCTATTATTATTATTATTATTATTATTATTATTATTATTATTACATGATCCCAGGGAAACAAGCAACGGCTGCACAGAAAATAGAAATAATCACCACCATCTGCATATAATCATCGTAATCGTACATACATACACCTCAATCACTGGATTTTTACACATCCCTTGGAAAGACAGGTGAACTAATGCCAGTGTACTGGAAGAAGCAAAGATCACCCGTGTCAAAGCAATGATTCTTCAGCATCAACTTCATAGGACCGGTCATGTTGTGTGGATGCCTGATGATCGTCTTCCAAAGCAACTACTCTATTCCAAACTTAAAAATGGAAAGTGTAATGCTGGTGGTCAACAATAGAGGTTTAAAGACTGTCTGAAGGCAAATTTTTTTAAAAAATGTAGTATCAACACCAACAATTGGGAAACACTGGCCTGCGAGCGCTCCAGTTGGAGAACAGCCTTTGCCAAAGGTGTCGTGGGCTTTGAAGACACTCGAACTCAGGACGCAAGGGAGAAACGTGCTAAGAGGAAGGCACACTTGGCAAATCCACACCGTGATCAACTCCTGCTTGGAAACATATGTCCCCACTCTGGAAGGACGTGTGGATCCAGAATTGGCCTCCACAGTCACTTATGGACTCACTGTGAAAACCATGTTTATGGAAGACAATCTTACTCGGCTACGAGGGATTGCGGAAGAAGAAGAAGAAGAAGAAGAAGAAGAAGAAGAAGAAGAAGAAGAAGAAGAAGAAGAAGACCTACATACATACACAATACTATTAACACAAAATTAAAACCATTAAAACCTTACAAACATAAAAAATAAAAAAGCATTTCAGCGGTCCAGACAAATATATGTGCAAGAAGGATCTCTTCTTCAGGAAGATCTCTATTTCAGAATTTTGCTCTCCAACACATGGACTGGGGTGGGGGTGGGGGGCAGAAGGTGGTGGGCCAAGGGATCAGGGCTCATGCCATTTCCACCAAGTATGAAATGCCCAGATTGGGCTCCTGCCTTGCCCGTATGTGGTGTAGATATACTTGGCTTCTTAGCTGCTCCATCCATCATCATCTCAAGACATTTACTGCCCTCCCGATCACTCTGACTCCCTTCTTGCAGACAGCTGCATGTTGTCCATTAGTTCCAATGTTCTTAATCCCTTTGTTTTGGCTGAGAAATGTCCTGGGTATTTTATTTCCGTCACGGCAAATTTGCTCTTCTTTATCCAATTTCATGTCCCCACCACCAACATAGACACCTGTCTAGAGCTCACCTCAACCTCTCTTTGTCTGGTCTTTCCCACGTGTTACCAGTGAGACCCTCGAATCAGCATCCCTGGAGCTGAAGAGATCTTGAATTGCACTCTGCAAAACTGGTTTACCTGCCAAACAGTATCTCAGCTCAGAGGCGTAGCAAAGTCAGGTGGTACCAGATATGAAACATTTTTTGTCAACCCCCCCCCCACACACACATTACAAGTTGTTGATTTACCTTTTTTTAGGTAGGTGTGTGATGGCCTGGGGCTTGGACTCAGAACCAGAGGAGTCTCATTCTGCACTACAGATCTAAGGCAGACACTTCCTAACCTGAAGAACTTCCTGCAGCAATGGCCTCATGGTCAGATGGTAAGTTCTGTCTGTTGCAGTAATAGGAACGTGGGGTAAATTATTCAAAGTTTGTAGAACATACTATATACCTAGGAAGTTGCACTTAGAGCTCTTTCTCGTGACTTTCTGGTATGCAGTGTGTCCTACCACAAACCTTTTGTCACTTGATGGTGACTTGGGGACCGGGAGCCTCGAAAACATCTGGGTTGGATGTGCTTTATAAAAATAGGATCTGGTCTCTTGCAGGAGAATTAGAATATTGTGCTAAAGAATCTCTTAATTCGACTGAATATGAAGCTGCATATTCAGGCAGTGTTGTTGTTTAGTCGTTTAGTCGTGTCCGACTCTTCGTGACCCCATGGACCAGAGCACGCCAGGCACTCCTGTCTTCCACTGCCTCCCACAGTTTGGTCAAACTCATGATGGTAGCTTCAAGAACACTGTCCAACGATCTCGTCCTCTGTCGTCCCCTTCTCCTTGTGCCCTCCATCTTTCCCAACATCAGGGTCTTTTCCAGGGAGTCTTCTCTTCTCATGAGGTGGCCAAAGTCTTGGAGCCTCAGCTTCAGGAACT